TGATAATGAAAACTAGAAAATTTGGTGAAATATATTCCACATTCAGAGCCCACACAACACCCACTTCCAAGATGGACACCTTTTTCCTGAATAAACGTGTGGGTGCAACTAATGTCTCTCTTACATTCTTTTCTATTGTAATAATTTTTTCTCCTTTGAAACGAAATCCCACACGTCGAAACTGCAGTTGGGCTGTCCCTGGTCTGAGTACCCTTTAGGTGGAGATGTCCTGACTCCGTGAGGACATCCTGCCCAACCTCCCTGCATGTGAAACAATTCTGGGACACATTGAAATTGCAGTTGTTTGCAAGTGAGATCCTGTCCACATCTCTAGTGTAAGACTTCTCTTTCACATGCTGCTGGTGAAATTTTGCACGGAAATAAAATTGTTTTGCACACGCCCCACACCTCAACAGTATCTGTCCGTGTTGTGTTCCCTGCAGCTCCATCACGTGGAAAATGTTTCCCAAGACTAGCCCACAACTCTCACAGGGGTGGCTCTTCTGGGAAGACAAGGCTACTTTGGGATTCCTTGCCTGTGACACTCTTACAGAATCCTTCTGTTCAGTCGTTGCCTCCACATTCTCTGCTCCACAGCAGCAACCTGAACAAAAGAAATGTAGCAAAAGTGCATGTTGACCTGATAAAAACAGAGTATCTTCACCAGAATTGTTAATGTCACAACTGGACATGATTCCAGACAATGATTTTCAAGACAAGTCAGTGAGACACTCAGGAAATGGCTGTTATGTATAACATGGTCCAAAAAGTCACTGGATGAGGAAAATCTCAGCAACAGAGGACAGAAGCATAAGCTGGCACAAAAAGAAGAGAGGCAGGGTCTGCTCGTTATTATTCCACAAATGGCTTCCTTTAGGACCTTTCATGCTGGCGATATGAGTCTGTGTAAAATAATTTCAATGTGCTCAAACACATAAAATATCAATCATAGTAAAGAACATGGGTTCAGCGTCAATAAAATACGTGTGTACTTTAAGCTCTGCAGGCATGCAACAACATTGGAATGCAGTAAAGCGAGATGTGTGAAACAGGTAGAAGTGCAAAGTTGAAAGAGGTTAAGGTTATCCATGGGCTGGGAATCCGAGTAGAATGATCACTATTAAAACTGAGCCATAGGCAAGGTGTCAACATTAAGCAAGAAGAAGTCGAATTGGGAGAGGAGTGGGCAATGGTAAGAAAACATTTTTGTTGTTGAACAAAATGGCTTCCTGGTTATGAATGTAACATAGCCCAGGCGTGAAAACCGCCCCCAGAGTCCTTCACCAAGGCAAGACTGCCTCTGGGTCCACCCTGTCATTGATAAAGTCATGCTTCTCCTGTGATGCACCATTGATGTTCTTTGTGAACGGAGACGCTGAGATGAGCTTGGCGTGCAGGATTGAGTTTAGAGAAGCAGAGGGCTATTGCTAGTCAGGCAAGTAGCAAAGGCCCCCAAAGCCCTCATGGCTTTTATTCAGGGAGTACAGCAAATAACAATGGAGTACAGCAAGTGACAATGATTAACAGGCATGCTTATGAGATCATCTGAGCTAACTTATACATTACACTATTAATTTCCTATATTATACAAAGACTCATTCCACCTACAGCAGTGCGCCCTCCCTTGAACTTTCCATGCCCTTATGGACTATTTATCACCTCAAGGAAAGTTCTGCCTCTGAACAATAAGTCTTGTTTGCAAGACTTTGTTCTGACGTGGCCTGTTTGCAGGCTCCTGTCTTTTCTTGGCAGAACGTCCTCTTCTAGTTAACTTCTCATTCCACATGTCCAGCTACATTTTCCCCCTTTTTTCTTTTGCTTCAGGTTCATGACAGAGAAGATAGCAAAGCTGTTTCATTATAAGGTACAGGGGTGGCATATAAACTAGTATGGTTCCAATCACATTTTAACTGTAATCGCCTTTGGAGACTAACATGAGAGAGAAACATCGATCAGCTACCTCCTGCACGTCTCCTACTGGGGATGTGCCTGCAACCCAGGTACATGCCCTTGACTGGAATCGAACCTGGGACCCTTCAGTCCGCAGGCCGACGCTCTATCCACTGAGCCAAACCAGCTAGGGCTCATCATTGATGTTTTTATCTCTCTCTCCTTTTCCTCTAGGAAATAAAAAATACATATATTTAAATAAATAATTAATTAATTACTTTAAAGAATAAATAAATATCCCTAGCCCCTGTGCTTCACTGATGACAGTGCTGCCTTGTGCACTGGAGGGCTAGGGTTTGATTCCCAGTCAAAGGTAGATACCTGGATTGAAGGTCCGATCCACACTCACAGTAGAAGCAACATGTGGGAGGCAGCCAATCGATGTTTCTTTCTCTCTCTCTCTGTCTGTCTCCCACTCTCTCTCTAAAAAAAACAATCAGTGGAAAAAATATCCTCACTATTCGGGTGAGGATAAAAGAAGAATAAAGAATTAAATTCAGAAAAGTTTCAAACATACAACCATTAGTTCCATTTCTACAACCTAATGAGAAATTCTTTGATGGAAAAATGAAGAATGTAATCAAATTTACAAAAGAATCCAAAACAATAAAACCCAAAGGAATAAATTCAACCAAAATGTGAAACATCTGTACAGTGAGTACTATAAGACAGTGATGAAAAGAATGAAAGAAAACCCAAATCAGTGGAAAGACAACCTGTGTTCATGGATCTGAAAATGAAATATGGTGGAGATAGCTATCGTACACAAGGAAAACTACAGATTAAATGCAATCCCAATAACTCCAATGGTATTTTACAAAGAAATGAATAGAGTCCTGACCAGTTTGGCTCAGTGGATAGAGCATCGGCCCGGGCACATCCCCAGTAACGGGTGTGCAGGAGGTAACTGATGGACGTTTCTCGCTCATGGATGTATCTAACTCTCTATCCTTCTCCCTTCCTCTTGTAAAAAATCAATAATATATATATATATATAAATGAAATGAAGAGAAAATCTGGAAATGGAATCAAAAGACCTCCATTAACAAAAGCAATCTTTTCATAAAAAATATATTTTATTGATGATTCTTTACAGAGAGGAAGGGAGAGGGATAGAGAGTTAGAAACATCGATGAGAGAGAAACATCGATCAGCTGCCTCCTGCACACTCCATACTGGGTATGTGCCTGCAACCAAGGTACATGTTCTTGACCAGAATCGAACCTAGGCCCCTTGAGTCCACTGGCCGAGGCTCTATCCACTCAGCAAAACTATTTCTGCTATTCATGGAAGTATAATAACATCCGCATTATAGGGGTACCAGAAGGAGAAGAGAGAAAACAAGGGATTGAGAACCTATCTGAAGAAATAATGACTGAAAATACGTGTGCGCCCACACGTGGTATTTTGTGGAAGAGCCACACTCAAGGGGCCAAAGAGCCACTTGTGGTTTGCGAGCTACAGTTTACAGACCACTGGAGAGCAACAAAAGCAGTCTTGAGGAAGAAGAAAGCTGGTGGCATCACACTTCCTGACTTCAATGTATTACAAAGAGAAAGCAAGCAAACAGTGTGTTGCTGGAGAAACACAGACACATACATCAACAGAACAGAACAGAAAAAAAAACAAACCCCAGGCACATACTTTTAAGTAATCTCTGACAAAGCTGCAAGCCACAGAAGGGAAAGATAGTTTCTTCAATGAATGGTGCTGGTATAAATGGACATTCACATGTAAAACAACAAAACTGACAGCACTGATAAAACGTAACTCAACCTGCAGGACAGAATTAAATGTCAGCGCTAAAACTTAAAACTCCTCAGGACAACCGAGAGAAAAAGTTTTGGAGGTTTGTTTTAGACAGAATTTTCTGAATGTGACACCAACCACCACAAAATAGAGAAAACATAAACAGTCCAGATTGCAACAAATAAAAATAGCATCTTCACTGCACAACAGCAACAAACACCAGTGAAAACTGAAAGGCAATCTAGAGAATAGAAGAAAATACATGCAAAGAATAGAAGAAAATACTTGCAAACCATATGAAGGAATCCCTTGGAGATATTGTGGATTCGGCTATGAACCAGCACAATAAAGCGAATATTGTGATATAGACAGAAATTCACACAAAGTTGCAGTTCCCCAGGAATAATGAAGGTCTGTTAATACTATACTGCAGGCTAATAACAATGCAATCAATGACTCTGCCTCAAAAGCAAAGTCTATATAACTTCATTAACAATATTTAATTGCTAAGCCCTAGTAACAAGCATCTGAGCTTGCTAGAAACATGGTGGCACTAGACCTGCTGAATGCAAGGTTGCCAACAACATGGACTTTGTACAAAAGCAGGTTTGGGGGAGTAATATCCGCAAAGAACTATTAAGCACATGCAAAAATATGTCTTTCTGTATGTAATAAGCAAATAATATATGAAATATATAAGGTATTCAAAAGACTCTAATAAAAAATAGTTAATAAATAGGATAAGGATGTGGAGACAGTTTTTCAAAAATATATACACACTAGAGGCTCTGTGCATGAAATTTGTGCACTTGGGGGGTGGTTTCTCAGCCCAGCCTGCACCCTCTCCAATCTGGGACCCCTATCACAATCCAAGGTTGCTGCCTCCTAACTGCTTGTCTGCCTGCCTGCCTGATTGCCCCTAACTGCTTCTGCCTGGCAGCCTGATCCGCTAACCACTCCCCTGCCAGCCTGATCGATGCTAACTGCTCCCTTGCCAGCCTGAAGCCCCTAACTGACCTCCCCTGCCAGCCTGGTCACCTCTAACTGCCCTCCCATGCAGGCTTGGTTGCCCCCAATACCCTCCCCTGCCAGCCCGGTCACCCTTAACTGCAATTTCATGCCAGCTGGGTCATCCCCAACTGCCCTCCCTGCAGGCCTGGTCCCCACCAACTGCCTTCCCCTGCAGGCCTGGTACCCCTCGCCAACTGCCCTCCCCTGCAAGCCTGGTCACCTCCAACTGCCCTCCCCTGCCGGCCTGGTCCCCCCCAACTGCCCTCCCCTGCCAGCCTGGTGACCCCTAACTGCAATTTCTTGCCAGCTGGGTCATCCCGAACTCCCCTCCCTGCAGGCCTGGTCCCCACCCACTGCCCTCCCCTGCAGGTCTTGTCCTTCCCAACTACCCTCACCTGCACGCCTGATTATCCACAACTGCACTCCCATGCTGTCCTGATCGCCCACATCTGCCCTCCCCTGCCAGCCTGGTGACCCCTAACTGCAATTTCTTGCCAGCTGGGTCATCCCGAACTCCCCTCCCTGCAGGCCTGGTCCCCACCCACTGCCCTCCCCTGCAGGTCTTGTCCTTCCCAACTACCCTCACCTGCACGCCTGATTATCCACAACTGCACTCCCATGCTGTCCTGATCGCCCACATCTGCCCTCCCCTGCCAGCCTGGTGACCCCTAACTGCAATTTCTTGCCAGCTGGGTCATCCCGAACTCCCCTCCCTGCAGGCCTGGTCCCCACCCACTGCCCTCCCCTGCAGGTCTTGTCCTTCCCAACTACCCTCACCTGCACGCCTGATTATCCACAACTGCACTCCCATGCTGTCCTGATCGCCCACATCTGCCCTCCCCTGCCAGCCTGGTGACCCCTAACTGCAATTTCTTGCCAGCTGGGTCATCCCGAACTCCCCTCACCTGCAGGCCTGGTCCCCACCCACTGCCCTCACCTGCAGGTCTTGTCCTTCCCAACTGCCCTCACCTGCACGCCTGATCATCCACAACTGCACTCCCATGCAGTCCTGATCGCCCACAACTGCCCTCCCCTGCCAGCCATCTTGTGTGTTGGAGTGATCGTCAATGTGCATATTATCCTTTTATTATATAGGATTACCAACAGGAATATAGAAAATGCTTTCCTCACTAATTAAGGTGGAATCCTGGAAGCTTCCTGCAACACAGCCAACCACAAGTCCTTCCCTGTGAATTTAGTGCAGCGGGGAGTGTTGGGACTTCAGGAATAAAAGGGAGCAGTGGAACCAACCGTCCCCAGGACAACAACTACCTAGGAAACTGGAAAATCCATCAGTACCACAGTCTACATGGGAGGACAGAGCACACCCTGGGAGATGGGGCCTGGGAAATGGCAGAGCCAAGTCCAGGTCACTGGTGACAGTGAGGGTCTTA